ATAATTAGAAAGTAAGAGACAAAACACAAGAAAATTAGAAGAGCAACCCAGGAGGTCCAACTTTCACATAATAAAAGATCCAAAGAGAAAAGAAACAATGAAGGGAGAAAATCATAACAAAATAATTTAAGACAGTTTTTTGGAACAGAAAAACATGCACATTAAAGATGTTCAACATCATTAGTCATGAGGGAAATGGGAAACAAATGACAATGAGAAACCACTAAACACCCACTGTAATAACAAAGACACACAATAACAAGTTTAGCAAGGGTATAGAAAAACAGAAACCCCACACACTGCTGGTTAGATTGTAAAATGATACATACACTTTAGAAAGAAGGCTGATAGTCCCTCAAAAACTCAAAGACAGAGCTATCTGATGACTCAGCACTTCTACTCATGGGTATATGAGAATTGAAAACAGGTATTCAAACAAATGCTTGTACACAAATGTTTATAGCAGCACTATTCACAACAGCCAAAAGGTGAAAAATCAACTGATGAATGGATACACAAATGTGGTATGTCCATACCATGGACAAGGATAAAGTAGTAATATATGCTACAAAAACAGCATGCTAAGTGAAAGAAGTCTATCAGAAAAGTCACATCTTAATGATTCCATTTATATGAAACATCCAGGCAAATCTATAGAGACATAAAGTAGAGAGGATTTGAAGTGACTGCTAATGGGCCTTAGGTCTTCTGTTTAGGATAATGAAATTTTCTAAAATTAGGTAGTAGTGATAGTCTCCAAACTCTGTGAATATACTAAAACCCACTGAATTATACACTTTAAAAGAGTAAATTTTGCTTTGTGAATTGTATCTCAATAAAATGGTGATTGTTGTTGTTTTAAAGGATGGAAAGACATGAGTTTCCAGATTGAAAAGTTGCACCCACTGAAAATAACGTTGCACATTAATCTATTTCTTGCTTCATCATGAAATTTCAGAATGCTAGAAATAGGATTATTTTAACAGAAACAGAAGAAACTAGACAACAATGAAGAGATGCCACTGAAATTCTAATGGAATTGTTTCCAACCAAGAATTCTACAACTAGCCAAAATGTCAATCAAACATGAGTGCAGAAGGAAGATATTTTCAGAAATGCAATGTTTAAAAAAAAAAAAAAAAAAATCATCCACACACTCCTTCCCTGGAAGCTATTAGAAAGTTAGTTCCCTCCAAAACAAAACTTCAGACTGAGAATAAAAAGAGTCCCAGCCCAGGAAAGGGGGGGGGGGGCATGCCAAGAAATCAGTGAAGGGAGATGAACCAGGCTGAGGCTTGGGGAGAACCTGAATTACTAACAGAAATTTAAAATGGGAAATTGTTATTAATTTCAGGGAAACCAAAAGTTGAACTGAAGGAGAAAAGTAATCACAATATACTATAGACCTCAGCTACAAACAAGATCTACATCTGTAATAAATAATGCAAATGCTGAATTTTGGATTTAATAAAAATTATAATATACCAATACTGGGAATGGGAATTTGGGAGGATAACAGGATAATAGGATAGGATGGGTTCACTTGTTTGACAGTGGAAGAATGAAAACAGAGTCCGTTAAATTCACATTTTTCGTTGTAAAGATGAACAGATGATGCCAGTGACTAACCAAGAAGTGGCAATAAAAGAAAGTCTCACCAGATATTCAGAGGAAAATCCTAAAAAATTAGCTGAAATAGTTCAAAGTCAAAACAGATGTCTTTCACAACAAACCAAAGAACTAATTGAATCTATGATCCCGTGGTGTATAAATTGCACAAAATCAGCAATCACATCAACTAAAATGAATGATTTAAACCTGAAGTGGGTTTAATATCCCTTTACCAAAGCACAAAATGTGTATTAAACTAAGCATTAACAAAATATTCTTGAAATGCAAGAAATAAAAATAATAATATGAAAGGAAATCCTAAATGGTCATTATAAGGACATGCATTTATCAAATTACTGATTCTGAAAATCAGTGAAGTTGCAGACACCCCATTTTCTATGATATATAATAATCATACAAAAGTTTTCTCTCTTAGAGATAAATTTGCTAATGAATTTTTTTGTCCAATTACTTAATGGCCTAGTCCAACATAATGTAAAGGTAATTGGAGTTATTGATCACTTTCATCTTGATCTTGAGTACTTGCATCAGATGGCAACTTTAGTACCTTAGCTGGGCTGTTTCTCTGATTTCTCCCAACTTGTCATGTTGTCACTCTTACTACATTTAATGCATCACCTCTCCTGCCTCTACCTGCCCCCTGACACATGCATCATTTTTAAAAGATTATTGTTTTCTTAAGACATGTGGATATAACTTTCAGAAAAAAATACCAACTAATTAATATGTGCAATATGTTCTTTTCTTTCTACAGGAATTTTCTTTTTATTACTGTTATGTTTCCTTTTTATTACTGTTATGTTCCCTATGACTTCCCTCTAGTGATGGTATTTTTTTGGTCTATTCTCTGCAAATAACACATATCTCAGCTCCCCCATTAAATGTCTATAAGTTTAAATAATAAAATTCTAAATTAAAGTAAGAGAAATAATTTAACATTTTAAAAGCCCATAAAGGCATAGCGTATTCTCATTAAAAAAAGTCTAATTTATAGTGGAATGTTGTCATAACTGTGTTTTAGTGGGTAATCCGACATTTACTATAGCAACAGTTAGAGATCTGACATGCTTCTATCATAAATCATGTGAATTAAAATACCATACTATGATTAGGATTTCCTAATAAGGATGGCGACCATATGAAATAAAACTAGAATGTTCAGAAGATAGTTATGATATAAAGAGAGAGAAAAAAACCCCACTAAAATCTCATCCAACATGATAGTGAACAAACACAGTTGAAAATGACTGAAAGAGACCATGATTCCTCATTAGATGAGAAAAAGTCATTAGGGAAAAGGACAGAAAAGAAGTTAATTGACTTTATCCTACCAATTAGAAAAGATGAGAAATTCAGAACAGACCACTGAATGAAAGCTAGCTAGTTTCTTTTTCATTTCTCCAGTTTCTCCGTATGGTTCAGAATTTGTCCATCTTACGCTGCCTGCCCATTCAGCCATCCAGTGTTTACATCTGTTCATACTCAGTACTTGGTTGTGAATGACAACCATCCCTTCAAAATACAGAATCACAGTATTACACTGTATAACTCCTTCTCCATATATGAAATGAAAACATCTTTGAAATTCTAGAAATTCAAGTCCATGAGTCGAATCCAGTTTTCCTATTGTTTCCACTAAAACACAAATATGATGTAGTCCCATGACACATGAAGCTCTGTGACAGCAATTTATCATCTAAGTGTCACCTGGAGATGACCTAGTCTGAGACACAGTTCTCCGTGGATTTCAGCCTCTTTATGCAAGGACACAGACAATAATTCCGTGGGGCGGGGGGGTGGGGGGTGGGGTTGGGAGGAGAGTGTCAATGGGGGAAAAAGAAGAAACATCTGTAACAAAAATAAATAAAACCTTTCCTTTGCAAAATAAAGCAAAGATATAAATACAAGGGCTATATATTGTTATCTCTCGAGTTTAAGGATAAGACAGCACATACATGCTGGAGGGGAATAATGAATGAATGAACAAATTAATTATTAAGGGAACAAACATAACAAGTCATTTTTCTGCTTCCACAAATGATGCCAAATGGGATGAGTTTGCAGAACAGCTGGGAACACTTGGGCAGTCCTGTGCTATGCACACTCGGAGTCCCCTGGATCCCCACTCTGACATGGGAAATGCTATGCACAGAGTACAGTTAGACCCTTGGACAACCAATCCCTTGCACAGTTGAAATTCTGCATACAAATCTGACTCTCCAAAACTTAACCGTTGCCCTGGTCGGTTTGGCTCAGCAGTTAGAGTGTTGGCCCTTGGACCAAAGAGTTGTGGATTTGATTTTGGTCAAGGGCACATACCTCGGTTGCGGTTCAGTCCCCAGCCCTGGTTGGGGTCGTGTAGGAGGCAACCAGTCAATGTGTCTCTTTCACATTGATGTTTCTCTCTCTCCCTCTCTCCCTCCCTCCCTCCCTCTCTCTCTTCCTCCCTCCCTCCCTCCCTCCCTCCTACTCTGTCTGAAAATCAATGGAAAAATATTCTCAGGTGAGGATTAAAAAACAAAACCAAACAGAAAAAACGTAACTGTTAACAGACTATTGCTGACAGAAAGCCTTACTGATAACAAACAGTCGATGCATATTTTGTGTTATATCCTGTATTCTTACAAGATAAGTTAGAAAAAGAAAATGTTATTTTAAAAATTCTAAGGAAGCCCTGACCAAGGTGTGGCTCAGTTGGTTGGGTGTCATTCCGAGCACCAAAGGGTTGCTGGTTCAATTCCCAGTCAGGGCACAGGCCCAGGTTGAGGGCACGATCCCTGGTAGGGAGCGTGCAGGAGGCAGCTCGATGCTATTCTCTCACATCAAGGTTTCTCTCCTGTCATCTCTCCCTCTAAAAATCTATAAACTACTTAAAAAAAAAATTCTGAGGAAGAGAAAACACATTTACATTATTGTATGTATTTAATGAAAAGAATCTGTGTATAAGTGGGCCTGTGCAGTCAACCCCACATTGTTCAAGAGTCAATGTATTTGACATCTTTTTTTTTTAGACAGAATGGAAGAGAGGGAGGGAGAGAGAGAATCATCGATGTGACAGAGGCACACTGACCAGCTGCCTCCCGCAAGACCCCAACGGGGCCATGGATCAAACCTGCCACCCAGGCACGTGCCCATGACTGGGAATTGAATCCAAGAACCCTCAGTCCTCAGGCTGAGGCTCCAAGCCCTGAGCCAAACCCTCCCTCCATTATTTCTGAAGTGGACCCATTTATCCTCTACGTGAATACTTTTAACGACAAGGTGCTCGTTCTTCTCCAAGGCACTGAATTTAATGTACAAGTAACACAAAACATTTCAACATTCTTCCCAGAATTAAGCCCAAACTCTCATACTTGGTTTCCTTTTTTTTATATAAATATATATTCATGAATGTGTGTGTCATCTTGGCAGGGACCATGCGAATCTTCTCTGTATTGCTCCAATTTTAGCACATGCGCTGCCTAAGCGAGCACCTGGTTTTCCTATTGTGTCTGGAATAGACATGTTACCTTTTCTCTGCTCTCCAGTATGTCTTTCATTCTCCTGAGTAAGTCTTCCTGGCACCTTTACTGGTTTCATGCTGTACAGCAGTGATTTTCAACCTTTTCATCTCATGGCACACATTAATTACTAAAATTCTGTGGCACACGAAAATGTGTATTTTTTTTGCCGATCTGACAAAAGTAGGTATAAATTTTGATTCATTCACACCGACCAGCTATTGTGTTGGCTGTTGTCATTTTTTTATTTGACAATCTATTTTTTTTTTCTTTTGATATTTTGTTCAGATAGAGTGGGGTAGAGAGAGAGAGAGAAGAGAGAGAGAGAGAGAGAGAGAGAGAAACGTCGACGTGAAAGGGACACATCAAGTGGCTGCCACTCACACGACCCAAACAGAGCCAGGGACAAACTGCAACTGAGGTACATGCCCTTAGCGGGAACCGAACCCAGGTCTCTCTGGACCGCAGGCCGACGCTCTAACCGCTGAGCCAAACTGGCCAGGGCTTATTTGACAATCTAAAGGGAAACAGGTAAGTGCCCCTGACTAAACAGTCAGGTACTGCACGTTGTAAAAATTCCTGTGGCACACCGGTTGAAAATCTCGTGTTCGTACAGGTTCATAGACCTCTCGCTGTCCATTGTACTGACCCTCCTTGGTGCACACTGCTGTTTGCTGCAGCCATTTGAGCCAAAGGAATTACTAGCCTTTTTTAAATGAATTGTTTTTAAGTTAACTTTCCTCCACCCTGTTTTTCTGTATCAGGGTGTGCTTTTAAAAAACAAACAAACATACACCAAGTAGACCTTTATCCCCACAGTAATTCACCTTGTAGGTTCAGCTCATCATTTCATCATATTCTTTTGTGACCCCCGATTCCATCATTCCAAGTATTAATCATGTCTCCTAGCTACAACACACATGCAAATAGGTCAATCACATAATCACCATGTCTTTATCTGAGTTATTAATAATAATATCAAATAGGACAAGGTCAAGGACAATGCCCTCCAGCATAACCTGATAGATTTTCTCTACCCTGATGTCAATTCATTAATCAATAGGCTTTCGAGGAAGTTGTTCAACCAGCAATAAACTGAAAGAATAATAATCTTTGAATAAGTGAATTTCAATTTTATTCTATTTATAAGGATCTCATGAGACTCCCTGTCATAAGCTTTGCTGAAATCAAGAAACACCACTGTTTCTTACTAGAAGGGAATAAAGATTATTAGACTTTACTGTCTGAAAATCTATTTCTGAATTTCACTAATGTTCTATAGTAAGCGTGTATGTCCATAGGGTCAGAGGTTTGGTCCCTGTCACCCTTTAAAAATCAGCATTACTTTTGCTCACTTTCATTCTTAATGTTATCTCAAAGATTATAAACAATAGTTCTATGAAAACACCACCCACAATTCTTTTCACATTCCAGATGCAATTTACCTGGGACTGCATAATGAACTTATTCTTCTGGCTGTTCAGGACGTGTTTGGGGGAAGGAAGGAGGCTGAGAAGAGCAAGGACCTGAGGGAGGTGTAACCTGTATTTGCTTCGTGACTTTAGTGAAAGGCAAGACCCACCTGCCTTTACAAAAGCCAGAGCATGTGCCCTCGTGTCAGCAAACCCAACCCAGCCCACCCAAAGAGCAGGGAGTGCAGACGCCGTTTTGTCCTTGTCAGCTCAGGGGAGGGAGTAACATCCAGTCCCCCAGGGCATCCGGTGAAGTAAGGGACACTGTAGGCGCTCACGCTCCTGGTGGCAGCAGATGCTGGGCACAGCGAATGGCAGGATTTGGCTCTCCAGCCTCACGCTGCTCCTGTCCATTTGTAAAGACTTCCCAGCAGGTCTGTCAGCCACATGCTATCCTCTCAATAAACGCTGCTGATTAATTCAGCCAAAGAGAATGTCTTCTGCTTGCACTAGAGAACTCTGACTGGTATGTTTATTCAGAGTGGCCAGACACTTAGGTGGCATTGTCTAAGGCCTACTCTAACTGCTGTGAAGTCACCTTTGTTCTAAATCTTCTGCTTGGAAGAGTATTTGCTTTGAGAGAAAAAAATAAAGACTATACATAGAAACCAAAGACTGAATATAGATAAGTAGAAAAATAAAAAAATTCAAAAATATGAATTAAGTAGTTCTGCTTTATTGGTTGTTTGCCTTAAGTAGTAAAACATTATAGTCTCTTGTTGTTCCTGCTTCAGAAGTCATTCATTCACTCATTCATATAAAAAGTATTTGCTAACCACCTACTGTGTGCACCCCGCTCCTGTGACACCCAGGCCCATCCGGCTCAGAGTCTCGGCCGAAAGAGTCCCATCGGAGTTCATGAATAATCTTTCTTGCTTCCTTTCAGTTTCCTTGGTTGGCTGTGCCTCATCACTCTGACCCTTAATGTTGAAGTGTCCCAAGTTCAGTCCACGAAACTTCCATTTCCTGTGTCCATTCGCTCACACGTGTTTTAGTTACTGACTGCTGTGTAACCAACCAACCCACTGCGTGGCTTAAAACAACAACAACTTTATGATTTCTCACGATTCTTCAGGTGCAAATGCAGGAAAGGCATGGCAGGGACAACTCTCCTTGGCCCCACGTGATACCTGTGGACCCACAATGCGCCCCTCTACCCCGACTCCAGACGGCTTGTGCAGTCACCTCTGGCACTGGCTGGGGTGCTACGTCGAGGGCCCAACTTCACACTGTCCTCTGTATTCTCCGCTCTCCTCGTAGTCTAGGGCCTCTGCCTCTCCACATGGTCTCTCCAGCAGGACAACTGGAACGCTAACACCGCTGGTCGGGATGCTCAAGACAACGCAGCAGCTGTCAGGACCACAGCTGCAGAGTGTCACTTCCACCGTGCTGCTTTCCTGGTCAGAGCAAGCCACGACCCAGCCGACATTAAGGGGCAGGGACTACACAGGAGTGTGAGTATCCAAAGGTATGGCTCAAGAGCCACCAATGTAACAGTGACCATTCTTGGGGATCTCCCCCAGACTCCTTGTTAAATAAAATCTATAACCCAGACAACTTCCAAATCTCTATCTTGGATCTCTCTGCTCAGTTCCAGACTCTACATCCAACTGCCTGTGACATCTCTCACATGTGTAACAGGCATCTCGAACTTAACCCATTTAGAACAGGGTGGCCTCTCGCCACGCTGCCCCCCTGCGGTCTCCCCCACCTCTCCTCCAGCAGCACATGACTGTAACGGCTCACGCCACAATCCCTGGTGTCACTCGTGACTCCTCTTCATCTCCCAAATCCTGCATCCAATGCTAAAGGTCAACCTTAAAAATGCATGCGGAATCCATCCACTTTTTACCACCTCCACTGCTGACACCACCTCATGCCTAGGTAATGCCAACAGCCTCCAGACTGTCTCCCAGTTTCAGAACTTGTCCACCTTCAGTCTAGTCTTAAGAAAGCAGCTGGAGAGATCCAATTAATATATGAGTTAGATCACATCATTTCTCTGCTCAGCACCCTTTGGGGCTTCCCATCTCATTTCTGAGTCAAAGCAAAATTCATTCAAACCACACCTTGCAAGGCCTGACATAATCCGGACCCCACTGCGTCTTGGACTTTGTCTCGTTGCTGGTCACTCAGTTCCAGCCATGGGCCCTGCTGCTCCCCACAGCTCTCTATGGTAGGCTCCTGCCTAGAATACGTCTTCCTCTTTCACCTCCTGCAGACTTTACCTAAATACCTCTCACCTTTTCGGCGAGGCCTTCCCCCACTTAAAATTTGTATGTGCATGGACATGTGCACATATATTTTTTTCTCATAGAAAAGCAGAAAAATGTTAAATCGTGCCAGGATGGTTTAATCTGGAAACCAGAATACTGATGGAGAGCTAGTTTCGAGAACAGATGTGTAATAAAATCATGCAAATGAAAGCATTCTTCATAGATTTAGAAATCAAGATGTATGAGGCAGAGAAGCCAAATAATTAGGTAGATTGTGTGCCAGGGTGATGAGACAGAATATAACTTTCAGCTGAGAGTTCCATACCCTAACATCACACATACCTCAGCCCATCCTAACGGTGCTGGTCGACAATAGCAGGCAACAGATGAAATGCAGTGACAAGGAGGACCTTTAGGCATAGAAGACTTGGCCTAAAGTGTTATCTTTGCCATGAACTTAGATACGTGACTTTAGCAAATCTGTTCTGAATTCTCTCTAAGCTTTATTTTTCCTCATCAATAAAAACCTGGATAACTATATTACATGCCTGCTATACTTCAAAGGACTAAAAAGAGAATCCAGTGGAAACACATTAATGAGAAAACGCTTTATAGAATGTAAAGCAATATAAAAAAATTAATTTGGTGATTTGGGGGTAATACATAAATCACTTTATACGATTGTTGGTGACAGTTTTTGCTTTTCATGTGGAATACAGATTTCTGTTTGACGTAATGGTGTAGAGTAGTTCGGAATATTTCATGAGTTTATGGCACATTTGAAGAAATGATTGCTCCAATGAATATCATGATTAGCAGTAAGTTTGTTGCTTTTCTTCTTATACATAAGTATGAAATGTGTAATGAAAAGTGCTGCAACACATACTTTGCTCTCATTGAATTTAAAATAGAACAGAATGGTTATGCACTTTAGCTAACGGTAATATATATTTACATAATCATGTTTACTATTAATATTCTTATTTCCACTTATAGAATCTGTTTCAAATTTTTCAGCATGATGTTAAATAGAGGAATGTGGCACTTGTCTCTGGCAAAAAAATAAAAAATAAAATGCTTAACTTTCTGTTTAAGTAAAGAAAACAAATATGTTAGCACTTTCACTATTTTCTGTATTTCTTTTCCGGGTCTCAAACTTATGCAGAAAAGAGAGAGTTATAACAATATTCAAGACCATTATGAAACCAGATGCCTTTTCAAGCTAACTCAGCCACTCCTTTGGCCGACGATGCTCCCTGGCATTTAACAGCCGGAGGAAGGCAGTGTTCCAAGTAGCGCACAGCACGGGCCCGCGTGGCACGTGACTGAGACATCAGCAGCCTGGGTAGCACCTTTCCCAATGTGTTCCCAACCTTCAGTTTACGGGTCATTCTATCCACACTTTGAAAATGGATAAGAACCTATATTTCAGATGTTTTAGGGGCTCTTCACAGTACCTAGAGATATTAACAATGTCCTATTATCCACTAAATCACTTTAGTGATGACCTTCAAAGTCATTTCTCAAGTGTTCTTTCACATCAGAAACTTTTCATCACTTAGTTTTAAAAAAAATCAACTTTTTTTTTTTAAAGAAAATAACTTGGATGTTAACCATTTTGAAATATGGCCATATCATGACTAAATTTAGGAAATTGTAGATTTAAGTGCTTGAGACTGATTTTAGAGCTTGCTATATAACAAGGTTGTGTGTGTGTGTGTGTGTGTGAGAGAGAGAGAGAGAGAGAGAGAGAGAGAGAGAGAGAGATTGATTAGGGGGATTCCAGTAAAATACATGGGACAATACTGTAACTGATAAGTTTGCTTATGGAAACTTAAAACATTTAATAATTAAATAAAAATTTAAATGGCTAGGGTTTTAACCAATCTATAAAACTTATTTTAAGTTATAAAGCAGTTTAACTATATTTGAGATCCACTGCACTCCGGTTGTACACTGCAGAAGGTTGTACAAAGAGGGTCGTGGAAGAAAATAAGAGTTTCCTTTCCCTCTCTGACCAAAGGCTCAGCCGAAGCACAGTTGTAAAAATAAACAGGAGGTATAATATTGCAATTAGAATTCACAGTAAGATGGGTCTGACTCTATCTCACGTGTTACAAGAAGCACTTCATCTCTTTAATCCTTTGGTTTTGCCTTTGTAAAGTGGTAGTATTCATAGTTCCCTAAGGCTGTCGAGAACATAAAAAGTAATAATGACTGTAAAGCACAGTGCTTGGCACAAAACTCAGTAAATTTCAGTTGTTGGTCGTTAGTACTGTGGTCATGCTTGTCTTGGACAACCTTTCACTTCCTTTTCTGATCCTCCCCTCCTCCCAAGCCACAGTGCCCTCCTGTTCACTATGCTGTGTCCCACACCGAGATCTGCTCTCATTTCCAAGGCGTTTCACGCTTTGAAATTACTATTGCCTTTCCACCACCATAAAACATACAAGAAAAGAGAGTTTATTTCTGCTAGATACTGAGAGGAAAGCAATTTGATTAAGCTAATCCATTAAAGTACATAATAACCTTAATTTTCCTCAAGATATTGGCATATACACAAGCAACAAGCAATGAGAAAGCAATGTACAAAAATAAAAACTTTAGGAAATATTCAGGGAAGTTATTTTTGTACTGGGCAATTCACCCCTTCCCCACTCTACCTGGGAAGACTTGTAAGATATTTCTACGGCTGGGACCTGTTCTCTACCAGCCTCCCTCCCGGCTCTGATTTCAGACATTCACTGAAACGTGGTATTCAAAATAAACAAAACGAAACAAACCAACTTCAGTTGTAGCAGCAAAAAGTGCTTCACCAGAGAGAGCACAGGGATAGATGAATGAAAAAGACAGACGAAGAAAGGTGGAAAGTAGAAAGGCCAAGAAACAAGGGGAAAGCAAGAAAATAAAGTAGAAAGAATTGAAGAGGCAAGGCAGGGCCATCATAAACCGTGAACGATACAAGCTTGCCTCGTTCTCTAAACGAGAACTGGCTCATCTGTGTCTTAACTCCCACAGAGAAGATAGGAATGCAACGTTGTCTGAAGAGTACTGCACGCTATGATGTGGCTGATTTAAGAGGACCTGGGATGTAGCCACAAGAATTGGAACCACAGAAAATTTCACTCACACAAAAGAATGATTGTTTAAAAGTTGGTCTTGCCCTGGCCAGTTTGGCTCAGCAGTTAGAGCATCGGCCCACGGACCAGAGTCTTGAGCCTGATTCTGGTCAAGGGCATTTACCTTGGTTGTGGTTCGACCCAGCCCTAGTCAGGGTCATGCAGGAGGCAACCAATCAACACATGTCTCTCTTATAATGATGTTTCTCCCTCTCTCCCTCCCCATCCCCCATTCTATCTGAAGATAAATGGAAAAATTATCCTCCAGTGAGGATTAAAAAAAAAAAAAAGTTGGTCTTAATCCATTAGCAAATATTGCGAGACAGTGAATTTCTTTCCTTTTATGTGACAAGCTCCACAGAAAACCATCAAACAACATTGGATCTGTTATGCACATTTTTAGCCTCACAAATATATTTAATTTTATTTTAAGATTTGGAGGACAGCCCGGCTGGTTTGGCTCAGTGGATTGAGCATTGTCCCATGCACCAAGAGGCTGCTGGTTTGATTCCTGATCAGGGCACATACTGGGACTGAGGGCTTGATCCCCAGTAGGGGGTGGGCAGGAGGCAGCCAATCTATGTTTCTCACATAAATATTTCTATAGCTCCCTCTCCCTTCCTCTCTCTCTCAAAATAATCAATAAAAACATATTTTTTTAAAAAAGGATTTGGAGAACATATTTTCATACTATTTTTGTTAGTTTCTCTATCACTGTTACTGATTAAGGAGTCAAAGTACTTTTCTTCCTTTGAATTTAATTATCCAATTTTGGGAGAGGGGACAAATATACTTTAGAAACATCTTTTCTACAGAACATTACAAAAGTTAGTTATATACTAAGGACAAATTCTAGATTTAATTGAAATGTTGCAACTAGACATACTGGAAAATATGAAACAAAAATTCCAGTTCTAAAGCAGATGAATACATTATTGATTCCAACATCATTGATTAAACAAAAGAAATTATATTTGCACTAATGTGTGAATTGGCATCCATTCTCGGTAGCATGTAATATATTCAACTGCTCAGCTCTAGCTGTCCTTGTAGCCACATTACCATATTATTCAAATGTATCTATCATTTATATGTAAATAGACAAGATGAATGGCTTCTTCATAAGACAATTTTCAAATGACAAATAGACACGGGCAGACACTATTAGCGAGATAAAAATGTTGCAAATATTCATTCTATTATATATATTCAAGAAAAAATAAAAACTATTTCACATTTTTTAAAAAGTAGTGTGGTAATTACAAGTGGGATCTTAATACATTCACAATACCAACAGCTATTCTTCTCAATAAAAGTCTCCACCAATGTCATTTGTATCTTATAAATTACATGTTCTCGGATCCATCTGTGAAAATTGAGATGCTAATTACCATGGTTACATTTCATGATTCCACAGTTAAATGCTGAAGTGGTACTACACAAACACCATATGTTTCTCTAAGAGAAATGGAGAAAGATTAATTATGAGTTCAAGTCCAAGTCTTCCAGCAGTAATACTCTCAACACAATAAGATCATTACATTGTATTATGCAAATTGAAAGTTTTAATTAATAGTTGAAGTGCCAAGTGAGTGAAGGAAAAAACTATGAAGTCTAAATTGTAAGTATCAGGCTTTTCTTCACACACACAAAAAAAATCCTAAGTTAAAAATTCCCACCTCTCAAAAAACCATATTTTTATTTTCTGTGAACGTCCTTTGATGGAATGATCACCATCATTGTGTAATCATATTGATAAACCTGAAAATTATAGTGTATTCTAGTAAAAAATAGGTTATAAGTAGATAATATATCTAATATCTAATGAAAACTCAAAGTAACATTTTTAAGTAACATTTCTTTAAGACACTATCATTCAAAATTATGCAATATCGCAAGTCTCATGTACTCAGGTAAAATACTCATTTCAGCATAGCAACCTAAAAATCAAACTCTAGGATCATACTATAAGATTTTTATTCATATTTTTAAAATCTGAATTCTTATTCTACTCACCACATATTCAAACACAAGTGTCAAGGTCTCCTTGGTGTGGATGATGTCATGAAGCAACACTATGTTAGCATGCTTTAGTCCTTTCAACAGAGAAGCTGTGAAATAGAGTGGACAGAGAAACAATTGGTCATGGGTAATAATCAACTGATATGTTTCATTATCATTTTGGGACATTGTCAGCTGAAATGTACTTATTTTCCAATTTTCCAAGCCAATAATAATGCAGAATCAAGGGCAGAGAAACTAGGTTTTCATTTAAATGAAGCTCCCCTATCTCCGTTATTCTAGCTGTTATTTGTTATTAATCTCTAGTTAGAGTCTATTACAGTCAGAGAACACACTTGGTATGATTTCCATTCCTTTAAATTTGTTAAGGTTTGTTTAATCAGCTAGGATGTGGTTTATCTTGGTATGAGTGCCAAATGTATGCAATGTACACGGTGGGGCAAAAGCAGGTTTACAGTTGTTTGTATGGAAAATGATACAGTAACTAGTAAACACTACAAGGATGACTCTGTGATTCGAGTATTCACAACTGCACATCTACTTTTTCCCCCACACTGCATATTTTGCTGATGTTGTGTACAGAGTTCTATAAATGTCAATTAGATGCTGCTGGTTGACAGTTTCTATCAATAAGAGAGGAGTATTGACATCCCCAACTGTAATTGGGAGTTTGTCAATTTTTCATTTAAATTCTACCAGTTTTTGCTTTATGTATTTTTGAAGCTCTGTTGTTTACTGTATATACATTTAGTATTGCCATGTTTTCTTTGTGAATTGGCCCCTTTATCAAAATATAATGTCTCTCTCTCTCCCTGGTAATTTTCTTTGCTCTGAAGTCTGTTCTGTCTGACATTAATATAGCTACTCAAGCTTGCTTTTCATTAGTGTTTACAGAGTGTACCTTTTTACATCTTTTTTTCTTTATATCTACCAATATCATTACTTCTAAAGTGAGTTTCTTATAGACAGCATAGTGTTGGGTCATGTAGTTTTTTAATCCATTCTGCCAATTTCTAAATCTTAACTGATATGTAGATCACTTAAGTTTAATGTAAATATTAATATATTGAGTCACCTGTCATTTGAATTTACTTTCCCTTGGACACCATGTGATTTAGTCTTCATTTCTGATTTGATTTTGTCTTTTCTTCTATATTTCCCAAGAGTTCGATTAACTCAAATCTCACTTCATTTTGGCTTTTGTTCATTTATCTTGTTAGAAATTGTATTTCCAATTCAAGGTGGGTTTTTTGTTTGTTTGTTTCATGTACCCAAGTGCCTGAATCAAAACTTAATTTAGATTACAGTGTTGAGCACAATTTTCTTTCATTTCATGACTGATTTTCTAAAAAGCATTTTTATCAGCAGAAATACATTGATTTATGTTTTCTGATTTTTTACAGCAGTTTTATGGTGATGTGGGCCATTATGTTTTATTCCTATTCATTCAATGGACTGGGTTCTTAGCTTGAGGGCCCTTTTCCATCAGTTCTTCCCTCTTCTGTGCAGTTTTTATGGATGGTGCTAGTGGAAGAAGGGTGGGGGGTGTTAGGTGAGTCTTAGTTCTTGTTAATATAGGATCCTTAATTTCTTCCTTTTCTTTCCCTCTCCACTTTCACTGTCACGTCTTCAAGGGGTAGCATCCTTTCTCTATATATCTAAATCTTCCCCAGAAGCAATGTTTTTCAGTGGCAGCCACTGTCGACCCCACGCACTTTTGATCTCCATTCCTGCAGACAGTGCTGTGAACTGTGTAGTCCCAGCTTTCTCTTTCTGGAGTGGCTTTCTCCATGCTCTGTCCCTCTACATTTTTTTTACAGTCACTTAAACCTTGCTTAAACTTCCCCTGCACCACTCTGTAACCACGGGCTTACTGCTGTTCCCTAATGCTCTTGAGGTGTGAGTCATGTGTGCTTTTATTTGCTCTCGCTGTTGGATTTATGACTCTTGGAGTGTGAGTATGAAGATTCAAGATCAGGCAGCAACCATCCATTGTCCTCCAAATCTCCTGTCCTAGATCAAGGCCTGATAAACAATAGCACATCAATAAATTTATTGAACGCCATTCATTTAAGGTCCACGGTGGGAAATACATATATAGAGACTGCCTCATGTGGGACAGGGGCTTAGTTTATTCCTTGAGTGAGAAAAGGACCTGCTGTCATCTGGCAGGTGTTTTCTCCAGTCGGATCTACCTTCCTTTTACTACGAGACCAGCATTAGCCCCAGACCTCAGTCTGATGACGGATGACAATTATTTTCAACACAAGGCCCCTTGATATCTATGGCCCCAAAAACCCAGAAAAGTCAAATTAACAATATTGGCAATCTCAAGGTCTGAGCAACGAACAGCTGGTTCTGCCTCTTAAATTCTACTCCTTCCCCATACAACCTTCCTTTCTTGGGATTAAAAACAGGACTGAGACAACCCCCCCCCCCACACACACACACACACACAACATAAACAGACTCATTGTGATACTGCTCATCTCAAAGAAAAATTAGATTAAGATTTCAGTGTTTATACATAATACCACAAAGAACATCACTGAGCTTTGAAAAAATATTACTTTAGGATGTTCTCCCTATAATGATGAGAAATAGAGTTTCAGGGTAAAAAGACATGAGCATATTGTAAGACATTACTTATAATTAAATAATAAGTGGATCTGGCCTTACATATTTCTCAGTATAAGTATAAAGCAACCATAAAAGATGGGAGAATATGTAAAAAATACTGAACCACACAAGTAACCCATTTTATCAAATAATCAAATCCAAAACTCTTATTAATTTATGAACATTTTATATACTAAGACTACAAGTATAATTTAGGAATAAATTCTTCTTCATTTTATATACTAAGACTACAAGTATAATTTAGGAATAAATTCTTCTTCATCTCTAACTAAGACCAGAAGTAAACAGAATTATCTCCCTTTATATCAATGACCATTCAGGTACAATACTCAAAGAACAGATGCTTCCTCTATCATCATTGTTTATTTTGGTAACACTGTGTCTTAGACTTTGATTTTTGGTATATAACATGAAGAGAAGAAAGAAAAATGTTTTGCATGTGTTCTGTCATTTATTCAAGTATTTATGCAGAACCTAGTTACTGGCATTGGTGGTTCTGGACAAACTTTGAACCCTTGATACTAAATAATACTGCAAAACCACATATTTTCAAAGAGATTTATAACACCAAACATGAAGCCTGATGTAAACTATGAACTTTGGACAATAGTGATGTATCACTGTAGGTTCATCAATTGTAACAAATGTACAACTCTAGTGAGAGATGTTGACAACAATAAAGGCTTGGTTGGGTGGGGAGGGTTGGGCCAGGAGTATCTGAGAACTCTCTGTACTTTCCACTCAATTATGGTTCTGAACCCAAAACTGCTTCAGAAATACATTTTTTAAAATGAAAAAGATATACTCATGTTTTAACATACTAAAAGAAAAAGAGAATCTAATTTATTTAATATTTTACTCAAATAAAGTGGTATTTTAGATATACAATCACCACACAAAAAAGGCTGTACAGGGCAGTCCCCAGAGGAGACAGAGAGATACAGCATGCAGCCCGGTAAGTTCTGGTGTGACCTCAATGAATGTGCACTCCAGTTCTTCGAGTTACTGTTAGCGCTATGAATTTCTGTTGTTTTCCCCAGGCAAACTGTTTCAGGGCAATATACTATATCCTTAATCCCAAGACAACTTTAACAAACACATAGTTGGTCCAAAGAAGGCTATTAGGACTGAGAATGACTTGTCACTGGTTCCAGACCAGAAGACAAGGAATGTATTCCTTGTGAAACCAAATCAGAAGCATCATCAGATAGATAGATAGATAGATAGATAGATAGATAGATAGATAGATAGATAGATAGATTTCAAGGCCAAGAACTCCTAAGTTATTGGGGGGAGGCCTTCTCTTTCACCTCACACATATCTGCCATGGGAAGTTAGTTTTACACACTAAATACCTTAGAGTTAAAACATCTACAAATTAATCTGATCTCAGCTCTGCAAATTAGCATGCATGAGAAAATAAAATTACAATTAAATCACAATACATGAACTTTGAAGAAACAAACACTAGATACTTTGGTATTGTTAATTCCAATAATTTATAAACTTCCTTTTACTTATTCAACTAGCCTATCGGCTTAAACAATTCAAGTTTTATTAAATAGCTAGCTTTCAGATATTAATCTGAGGACCAACATTTGCTCATTTTTAAATTGGACATCTAAAATGTTAAATAGTCGTATGAGCACTTTACATGGTTTGGAAATTAACCCCTCATCTGATGTGTCACTGGCAAATATGTTCTCCCAGACAGTGGGTTCCCTTTTCCTTTTGATGCTGGTTTCTTTTGCTGTGCAGAAGTTTTTTAGTTTGATGTAGTCCCATGTATTAATTTTTCCTTTGTTTCTCTTACCCTAGGCAATTCTGCTTCATGTGATGTCTGCAATTTTGCTGCCTACATTTTCTTCTAGGATTTTTATGTTTTTACAACTTACATTTAAGTCTTTTATCCATTTTGAGTTTATTCTAGGAAGACAAACAACCCAATTAAAAAATGGGCAGAGGAATAGACACCTCTCCAAAGAGGACACACAAATGGCCAAGAGACATATGAAACAATGCTCAACATCACTAATCATCACAGAGATGCAAATTCTGACTATGAGGTATCACCTCACACCTGTCAGAATGGCCGCCATCAACAAATCATCAAACAACAAGTGCTGGCGAGGGTGTGGAGAAAAGGGGACTCTAGTACACTGCTGGTGGGAATGCAGACTGGTGCAGCCACTAGGGAAAACAATATGGTGTTTCCTCAAAAAATTAAAAATTGAACTGCCATTTGACCAAGTGATCCCGCTTCTAGGAATATACCCTAAGAAGCCTGAAACACCAATCAGAAAGAATATATGCACCCCCATGTTCATAGCAGCACTATTTACAATAGCTAAAATCTGGAAACAGTCCAAGTGTCCATCAGTAGACGAATGGATAAAAAAGCTGTAGTACATTTACACAATGGAACACTATGCAGCTGTAAGAAAGAAAA